GGCCAGTATCCCCTCTCTTTTTCTACAATAAGTGCATTTGTGTGCTGACCTGCTACGCATATCTCCCTCTCATTTATTTCTCTGTACCCTTTGATGTTGTTTTCATTTTCATGATTGTCAGCCTTGGTACTGTTCCTCCTGAGGTTGTATCTGCTATCTGCAGATTTTTCTTATCCATCAGTCATTATTTCTGGAGACTTCCCTGTCCTTGTGGCCTGAGGAGTCTTCCTTCCAACCTTCACACACTGCCCCTGCTCTGAGGCTTCCCTCCCCTCCCTGTTCTAAGCTGTGGTTACTCTTTTATGGGTTCTGGTTCTCCTCCTTGACTTACCTCTTCAGTTTGCTAAAGAAAACATTTCAGACTCGTCTGATCTCTGTGAGTTTCTCAGTTCCTCTTGCATATTTATTTGATGGGTCGGCTGCAAATAGAATTCACTTGACAGCCACTATTGCCATCCCGATTTCTGAATGTTGAAATGACCCATTTATTGGCTTTCATTTTCCTTTCTGGAGTCATTTATTATCTTCTCTTTTTTGTCAGCACTTTAAACTTTAGTGCAAGCGTATAAGGTGACGTTTATGAAGCATTCACAGGCTCCTCTGCACCTCTAACTCTGTTCTCCTCTCATGAAAGCCTTCCTGTCTTGCCTGCCTTTAGCCACACAGCTGGCCCCTTCCCTTGGCCATGCCTCAGGGGTTTTAATTGGCTACTCCCGGAGGGTAGATTGTGCATCCTTCACATATCTGCTTGGCCCAGTTGTTACTCAGTCTTACTTAAGTACAATTCCCCACTGTCCAGTCACTCCTAATCTTTTTGCCTTGATTTCATTTTCTCCATGCTACCTGCCACTAAGTTACACATGAAATAAAAATGCATGCCAACTGCCAACTCACATATTCTTTTTTAAGTATATTTTTTAATTTTAGAAACAATCTTATTTTATATATCAAGCCTCCCATTCCCTTAAGCACCCATCCTCCCATGCTTCCCACCAACTCCCCCAAGCCACCCCTACCCACTCCCTAAGGATAGTGAGGCCCTCCACGGGGGAGGGGGACATCATATCATTTTGGGGAGAGCCTAATCCCTCTTTCAGGTATCTGGGCTGCAATAGTATCCCTCCATAGGGAATGGGCTCCCAAAGTCCATTTGTGCTCTAGGGATAAACACTGGCTCCACTGTTAGAGGTCCCATGGACTGCCCAGGCCCCTCAACTCACATATTCTTACATAGTCTTGTGTGTGGGTTTATATGTGTTTATGCATGTACATATACTTCCCGTGAGTTTGCTTTGACCACCACGACAAAGTGCACCTAGTAGCTGATGAAGTTGTGACAGGCTGCAAGTCTGAGAGACACTGCGAGGAGTGGCTTCTTCTAAGGCCTTCCAACATGGTTGCAGTCCTTCTTTTCCTTTGGCTTACACGTTCCTTTGGTCTGTGTCTAAGTTTCCTCCTGTAACGATAATAGCTAAATTGGATTAGTGTATCGTATCCAGTGATTGGATTTTAACTGAATTACCTCATTAAAGAGCCTATTTCCAAACTCAGTTCCATGCAGAGACAGTGTGTGTTTACACACCGTTGTGTAAGTCTAAGGGGCATGGTTCAGTCACTGGCATACTCTTTCCATAGTTGGTGTTCCTGAGACAGTTGTGAGAATGCTACTTTTGAAAATAAAGGTTTCCCCCCAACAGGTTTCTGGATTTTTTATTATTGATAATTTTCAGTTGTTAAAAAATATATTCTTCTTTCATACATTACATCCTGACTGTAGCTTTTCCTCCTTCCACTTGGAGAGTGGAGGGAGGGATAATTTTTAAATTATTTTGAGACTAGTATAATTACATCATTTCCCTTTCCTTCCTCTCAAGTGTCCTGCACAGACCTCTCTCAAATTCATGGCCTCTTTTTCGTTAGTTGTTCTTACATGTGTGTGTCTTCCTAAATTTAAAAATACAGCCTGCTCAGTCTATGCATTACTTGTATGTGCATGTCATTAGGGCTGAACATCTGTTATTGGCTATAGTATGCTTTCCCCTGAGGCTTTCGGAGACAGGGTAACCCTGGCTGGCTTAGTACTCACTGTGTAACCAAGTCTGGCCTCAAACTCAACTCATACTAGTCCTCCCTCCTCAGACTTCGGGGTGCTAGGGTCAGAGGTTAAGATACCATACCAGGGATGAGGTGTTTTAAATTGTTAGTATTTACATTGTCTTGTATTATTCATTGATACATATCCCATATCTAGACAATACTCAGCGCATAATAAGTGATACATGAATAATGAACGTGGTAGCCTCTTGATCAGTTCCTTCCATCTGAAGCATCGCCCCGTCCTGTCCCATTAATGGAAAGTTATCTTATTACATTGATTCAATTGCCATTGTCAAAAACTTCTGTGTATTACTTTTCTAATTTTGTTCATTGAATTTTGGACTAGCTTGTTTTGAGTCCACATGTTGTCCTACTTTGAAGATGGGGGATGGGGAATTTGTTTCCTTCGCCATCCAAGTGCTTCTCCAGTTACTCCTTATGCTTCTATAGTTACTCCTTATTTTGGCATCCAATGCTCCATTTCTGTGAGCTGTCTTCTTGCTGTTTTCTTATGATGTTGCTATTTTATGAGTGATCCATCTTTGTTCATCTTTCTGTGTTTATTGTGTCATATTTTGTTCTCTGAATTGAATTGTCAGTTTCTTTCTAGGCCACAGTTTTGCTGTCTGTGTTCTTTTTCTTATGTATTGATTCATCATTTCCTGGGACTCCTTGGCCATGCTGTTTTAGTCCATAATGAAACAACAATGTACGGGAGGTCTATTGTAAGAGTGGGAGCTCTGGCTGCTAATATCACACTGGGAAGCTGGCTCCTACTCTAGAGGAGCCCTTTAAGGTAGAGTGCTAAGTAAGGTCTTTGGTTTCCAGGTCCACAGTAGCTGCTTATGTCTCTACAAATTTTTCGCCCCTTTTTCTTAGGGGAATACCCTCTGATTTTTACCTGATAGCCCAACTTGGTGTATACAGAGTATAATCAATGATGTCTTATGTCTGTTTTCAGTTAGTGTCTTTGCTTTCTGTTTGACTTCCATGACTTAAAAAAAAAAAAAAAAAAAAAACATTATCTGTGTTCTGCCCCCTTCTTTCTACCCTTAGAAGAACAAACCATCAACCAAATTCACTTTCTCTGACTTCCCCATCTTGATTTATCTGGTAACTATTCCCCACTCACCAGTGATAAACTATGTATAAGGTGCAAACAAACTGTGTATAGGGTCAGAAAACCACCAGAGTTAGTTACTGCAGCCAGAGGCAGAGCAAGGCTGGTTTGTGTCTCCTTGACTCTGCTCCCCTACTTCCCTTTTGTACCTAACTCGCCTCTTCATTTTACCATTCTGCACAGGTCTGCAATTAAAGCCTTGCGGCCTGGAGGGCTACTTGTGTACTCCACATGCACACTCTCCAAGGCTGAAAACCAGGATGTGATCAGTGAGATCTTAACCTCCAACAGTACCATCATGCCCGTGGATATTAGTGCAATAGCAAGGACTTGCTCCCAAGATTTCACCTTTGCCCCCACTGGCCAGCAATGCAGTCTCTTGGTGATTCCTGAAAAGGACAAAGCCTGGGGTCCAATGTTTGTAGCCAAACTGAAGAAAAGCCATGAGTACAGGAAAATGGCCATGTGGATTTTGTAAGTCTTGTTGATGTGTTATTATATGCATATTATTTGAGCTGCCTACATATTAGTAGCTAAATAATTACAGAGCCACTCTCCCTAGGATCATTTGGAACCTTGCTTAGTTAGCACTTCAGCCTCCTAGAGCATACACTTAAGAATTTTTCAGGTACAATTTTGTGACTCGAAATATATCTATAGCGATGCTTTAAATTGGCACAGATGGTTGGTTCTGTATAATCAATGTCTGGTTTTTACTTGGTAAATTAATTAGAATACATGGTTCTGTACATCAAATGCTTAGGACTGTATTCTATGGCATAGGTATTTAAGCCTTTCCTTTAAAACTGGATCTGCCAACACTCTTACCATTTTCCCCATCAAATGTGCAGATCCTTTTTGTAAGAACAATTGGTATTCCAAAACTAACTTTTTAAGCAGCACAATTTCTAGTTCTAGTAAAATAGGTTTCTTATTTGCAAAGTTGTTTTGTGTTAAGGACTCTCTTCTGTTTACTGCAAAGGTCAGTGACTCTGTTGACACCGGCTTCATTTCCCCCCATTTTCTGTTATTCACAAATCCAAATTGAAAGGGTAAATTATGTTGAAAGACCTTTAGAACAGCAGACTCACATGCACGAGTCTGACTTGCGACATTCAGCTTGTAAAATAATGCAGTCTATCCAGCAGGCTATAAAGCAAGCACTTGAAACAAAACCAGAGTGATTAATAGCGGCAATAACTGAACTATATTTGGAGTGTTTTGTTACATAATTGCAGTCATAATGAGTACTACAGAATCCGATTATCTTACAGTTGCAATCTGGAGGGGCTTTTTATTTCTCTTGGTTATAAAATGTTATGTGAGAGTGTGATGTCACATATTAATGCACAAGAGAGACATGCCTAATGAGAGTCAATTATCCGTTACCAAGACCCCAAACCATTCACTGAGTGACTCTCTGTATATATATATCCCAAGAGTTTTGTGCGTGCTTCTATTTATATGCTTGGGATTTTAGAATCAATTTTCAATCATGGACTTTTCTTTAGAAATTGTTTCACTTGGATCCAAACTGATTTTTCCAACTATTAAGAAAAATCATGCTGGTAGACATGGCAGTGCATTTGGGAGGCAAGGCAGAAGTTCAAATCCAGCCTAGGCTGCATAGCAAGACCCTCTTTTCTTAGAAAGAGGTAGGGAGAACAGGAGTGAAGGAGAGTAGCATAGAGCATGAGAGAAAATTACAAAGCATACTTGAAGTTAGAAATTAGCTTTTTAAATTTTTTAAGATCTATTTATTTTTATTTTACATATATGAAAATAATGTAAAATATTACATTATTTTAATGTAATGTAATAATGTAATAAAGTAATATCTTGCCTGTGTTGTGTGTCTCTGTACCACATGAATGCCTATTGCCTGAAGAAGTCAGAACAGGGTTTCACTTCCCCTGGAACTGGAGTTATAGATGACTGTGAACCACCATGTAGGTACTGGGAATCCAACTCTGATCTTCTGCAAGAGCAGCAAGTACTCTTAACCGCTAAGCCATCTCTCAAACCAAAAATGAGCTTGAAAAATCAGCTATGGAATACAAAATTCCAAGGAAGCAGAATGGTATGTTTTGTCTCTTGTGTTCATTAAGCTAGTCAGTATATACATTTTGTTTTGCAAGCCTGTGTAATTGGATCCAAATGAATGGAAAATCAAGAAATAATTTTGCTCCTGCCTCTGTTCTCTACAATTTAAAGTATTTAAAGTATATCTGACCAGTGTGTTTAAGGTGATAATTTATCTCTTGGGCCCATCAAATGTATTCAGTTAATATCAAAGATTAATGACAGAAAGTGTTTGTTTATTTTGCTTTGACTTAGCAGTTTGTTTTTCTGTTTGAAATCCTGTCTTTGGATTCTATAGTTTTTAAACTGTATTTCTTTTATGTAAGTTCACCACTATGTAAATTTTCTCAGTTAAAGTGTTGAATGTCATTATTTTTCCTGTATAATGTCATGAAGCTTCAGTTGAACACAAAGTGTGGTACTGAACTTGACTTTCTTGGGACCTGATGAAAAATACCTATGTATTTATTACCTGTATTTATATTATTATTAAGATGGCTGTAACAAAACAGGCAAACATTTATTGAACATTAAATGGTAGATAGAAGTCTTTATGTTGCTTATTTTGATCTTTATAACTATGGGCTAGAGCATGCCTTTAATCCCAGCAGAGGTGGATCTCTGTGAGTTCAAGGCCAGCCTGCTGATCTCTGTGAGTTCAAGGCCAGCCTGCTGCTCTACAGAGGGAGACCAAGATAGGCTCCAAAGCTACATAGAGAAACCCTGTCTTGAAAAACCAACCCCCCCCCAAAAAAAACAACAACAACAAAACACCACCACCACCACAACAAAATATATAGGCTAGGAAGGGTGGTGGTGTGTGTCAGTAATCAGCCCTTGGGAATGCAGAGACCTCCCAGTGTCTGGCCACAGAGGGAGACACTGTCGCAAAACAAGCAATAGAATAAGCAGCAGCGGGCAGTGAGTTTGTGTTTGTGTTCCTCTCTGTGGATGATAAAAGCAAAGCTCAGTGTTACTTGTTTGTCAAGGACACTGGCAACTTAAGAAGGGGACCCAGGTGAGTGCCCACTCCGTTGCCAGCCCCTCCTCTGTCACTGTGCTGTACCACCCACGAGGAATTATAGAACTTTCAAGATGATCAGCTGCCTTTATGCCTATTCTCCACGATTCAGTTTCCTATTTATGCACAAGTCCCTATTCCCAGAGCATCAAAGGCTTTGTCAATACTTGGGGAAGAAAAGCCTTTGAAATATTACAGTCCTATTCTGAGGAAGTGTATCTTGTGGTTGTAATACTAAGGAATGTCCCATGGAGGTATTTTTTGCCTCCCTCTCTGTTAAAGATGGTGAGCTGAAAATTGGAAATTTGGACAGCCTTTCCATTTCAACTGAAAACTGAGGAATAATTGATGCCACTTTCTGTGGCGCATGGTCACTTTGAAAACAGTTTCATGAAAATTTAGGTTACCTACCAACACATTAACTTCTTCCGGCCATCAGCACCCTGGGCAGCCACTAGTTTCACAAATAGACTACGAACAAATGCCATGCATTTAAATGGTTTGTACTGAATTTTTAAAGCATAAGATACTATTTGTGGTTTGAAGTGAGGGTGGCCTCCTATTCTTTACTCTATTACATATATCCATTTAGCTTTATACTTAAATTACATATTGTTCCCTTAGTGGTACTGTGAAAAATACGCTTTCACATGATGTGGGGAGGTATAAAATAATGGCTACCTGAATACATGGTGCATGAATAAATAATGAAGGCCTAATAGACCTTTATTCAAGAAGCCTGTATGCCTGGTCAGAAGCATCAGGACATCTGCACAGGCTAATGCAACTCATCTGAAATGCAAGAGAAAACCCGAACCAATAGTGACAATTGTATTACATGCCAGAAGTCCTTTGATGCAAGTGAGTGGGGCTACTCTTATTATGTGCTAGGTAAATTTGACTTTAGGGACAAATAGAGCTGATAGCCCAATTTATTTTCAACTCGTCTGTATGGTTTAAATCAATGGTTTGCAATCTCCCTTTCCTGGCTTATTGCTGCCCTGGGGTTGGAGGCAAGGATGAGACCCATTCCTGGTGTTCCTCTCCAGACTGACAGTGGTACTATAATATCACTCAATCCCAGGGGCACCTACAGAAGACTCAGATGGAGGCTCACAAGGTAAATACTGTACACTATCAGCTACCACTGGTCTGCCAGTGCTGAGAGCCCTAACACCATCTGTCCTAAAAACATTAACTGCAATGTCATGATTTGGAATGGCTTCAGGCTGTAGAGTCAGTGAGAGAGAGAACTACTATCATGACAGAATGGTTTCTATTAACACAACAAGTGACATTTCATAATAAAATTTAAACTTAAAAAGAGTTGATTTGGGATCCTCATAAGGGACTCACTAAACAACTAAACAAACATAACACTTAAAAAGGGACCCGTATTCCAGTGCTAATTAAAAAAAAAAAAAGGTTTCCTCACATCTAAGGAAGATTAGCTTGGTAAAACATGTACCTCTTTAAAATTTAATTCAATAACTCTAATATTAGCTCCATACCTCTGTAACTTTTTATAAGTGAAGAAATTCATTTCCTTAGGCATATAAGACCACACAGTTACAATGAAACCCTAGGATAGCATTTGCTACCTCAGGGAAAGGACTGTATGCCTCATTGGAAGCCATTTAATGGGATACGTCATGACTCAATTAAGCTTGCTATGGCTTGTCAAAAGGAATTTTCCACTGCATATTGGTATGGAAGAGCCTATTACATATGAATAACTGCCACACCACAGGATAAATAGGCTGAAAATGTACAGTTCATTAAGGAATAAAAAACAGGACCATAGAACCTAACTTCAGTCTAGTTTTATAAAATAAATTTGTTTCTTTATTTTACATCCCAACCTTAATTTCCCCTCCTTCCTCTCTCAGTCTCTCCCCTACAACCCCTCTCTGTTACCAATCCCCAATCCACTCCTTCATTTCTGTTTAGGAAAGGGCAGATCTCCCAAGAGTATCAACAAAGCATGGCAAGTTGCAGTGTGACTAAGCACCTCCCCATGTATTAAGGCTGGGCAAGGTGACCCAATCTACTTTTTAAAAACAAAAGGGAATAAAATTACTGATAACAGTAAGAATAGACAGAAGCCAGAGGGATCAGTGATAGTGGGAGGGAAAAATAAGATTATTAGCCTGTGATTAGTTTTATATACAACATCTTCACTTATTTATCTAAAGGTATTAACCACCTTTCCAAAATGATACATGAAGATGAGGGCCAGAGAAATGAGGTGGCCAGAGGCTGTGGGCTGACTCGTGACATGATGCTGACAGGGAAGAACTACAGAGTTCACCACTAGCGACACACAGGAAAAGAGGATAAGGGGTATGGTGGTGACAGCTATCTCTAATGT